GGCATCAGGAGCCTGGCTCTGTCTCCTACCCATGCCATGGGCAGTGTCTCTCATTTTACCACTTCAAATTGCATCAGTTCAGAGGGTGGCACTGTTCTGTTCAATACAGGATGACTTCAATACCACAGGCACCTCGTTAATTCTCTTTAAGGACAGATTCTAAACAAATTACCCAACAAAATAGGAGACTGAATGACAGCTGCAATGGAAAAACAGGGCCATTTACAGCTCATTGTTTAATCTCCCTGTAGAGCTTCAGTATGGCAAGAACACAGCATGTAAAGGAAAACACCGCTTTTCCCTGCACATCCAGAAATAATCTAGGAAAAAAGTGACACTGTGTGCTTTAATGGATTTAATTTCTCTTACAGGACAGAACTTCAGATTTTGAGGTTCAAAGTCAAACTGCCACATTTTGCCTAATAATAAATGAAACTACCAGTAACAAAACAAGAAAAAACCTACAAAACCAGATCTAGCTACAAGTAAAATACTTGATGGTAAGAGACAACTAATCACAGCAACCAAAACCATTGAGGATAGTGCCTCCAGCTTTAAATAAGGAAGCATTTGCTTGAATAAAAGGCAACCCCAAAATCCAGACCTTAACCTCTCCTGGCAGAGCCCACGCTCCCTGCCACGCAGCACAGTACAGACGTTCCCCCGCGGGTACAGGCTGTGCATCTGCAACTCTCCTGCACGCACCCTTCCCTGCAGGACAGGTTCTTCCTTCACAGCAGGACAAGCTTCACCAGGGGGTCAGAGCACGCGTGGACAGCCACGGAGCTCAGCGTGCCGGACTGTGCTGCCCTGCTTCTCCACACGCAGTATTTCATGGCATTTATTCTTAAAACACTCATCATTTCTGACCCACTAGGGTGTCTGTCATGTCCACAAAATGGGAATGCAAGGTGAGAAGTTCTGACAGAGTCCTGTTCAGCTGGGGCAAACTGGCACACGAACATTCATTTCCAAAACATGAAGTCCTGGACAAGAAGAGAATGACATACCACTAAATGTAGCTCCAGAATCTTTCACGAAATCTTCCACGATAATGGGCAAACTGGCAAAATTCGGCTGCCTTACTAGTTCGTACACAGAAGGCTGAAAAAAGATCAAAAGGAAGTAAGTCTGTCTTGCTTTTTATAAAAAAGTCAAGCAAAACCAACATGTATTTCCCCCAGCAATTTATTTTTCTGTTCCCTCTATGATTCTCCCAGCTGAAAACTAAATGATCATAAGCAGCTTCTACGGATTTTCTGCAGGGAGCAAACTGAAAGCTCTCCAATGAGACAAAGGGAGAACGACACTAAGCAACTTCTGCACACGACACTAAGCAGTGCACGTGCAAGTAACATCCTGAAAGCACAGACCTGTTCGGCTGCTGGGCACGAGCATTTGCACACACCCGCTGTGCCACCTGCAGAGTCCAAATAGCAGTACTCTGCTTTGGGACAAATATGAGAAACAGCTTAAAGAGAGAAAAATTAATTAAGAGTACTTAGTTCAGGTTTTATATCCACAGGAGGAAACTGAACTTTATAGTTTCCATAACTACAGCTAGGCCACATCATGCTTTATTTAAAATATTTTATCATGGACTGTAGTGCCACATACAAGCACAGCAGGACACTGATAGCTCTTCTGAGTCCCATAAACTTAATTTCTTAACTTTGCATGTAAATTCCCAACCCTAGAAGTTGTACTATAGAGGCTCACATCATCTTGGCACACAGGTACAACTGCTGTATGAATGGTCTGTGAGGTCAGAGGTATGACTGCACGTTTAATTAACATCAACAGTACCTGGCTACTTCATGAATTACAAGCCAGTTTGTATAAACACCTTTTTTCCTTCAACTTCCTCTACCTTCCAAAATGAAAGGGCACCTTGAGGAATACAACTTACCTCCAGCATTCATGAAACCAAGGAAAGTAATTCTCAAAAGCCCTCAACTACAAATCCAAAGAGCTCCAGCAGTCATCTCCAGCATTTCATTGCTTCAGTTTAAAGTTTACTGAACAACCGGAAGGAAAACGCTCTCCACATGACAGCAAAGTGAGACAATCCCTTCAGGCGCTCAGTGCTGGGCCCCCTTGCCAACGACTACTCTCCACATCTTGCACATAACCCCACAAGGGTACCAAAACAATGATTTATATTTGTCAGAAGTTCTAGGATAAGACCCCAAACAGCAAAAGTCAGGTGAAAGCTCAACCTACCCCTGTCAGGCTGTATCCCTGAAACACCCAGGATTTATCCTCATTGGTGGCACAACACAAAGCTGCAACTCCATGTCCAACGGCACAGATAGGCTCTAGGGAAAAACCAAAGCACCTTTGAGAAGTTGTGAGCATATTTGCATGTGTTCATGAGATTCATCATGTTGCAGCATGTTGCTTCCCTGCAATAAAATCATACTGCACTGTTTATGCTCTCCTAGGCTGTAAGGGTTTTCCTGCACACCCCAGTAAGAATCACCCAGTCTGGCAAAGAGTTACTAGCTGGTAACTCCAAGGCCAGAGACAGCACCAGTCCAAGAGAAAAACTCAAAAGGCAAATGAGAAGCACACACAAGTCTTCATTAACTACAGCCTTAATGACAATCCTGGTACATTCCACATTTGGCTCAGCCTTGAATCCTGCAAAGCTATTTCTGCACCACTGTAAGGCAGAGAACCCTCTTCTGGCACAAGCACTGAAAAGCTACTGATATATTTTATATGTATTTACATATAGAGAATATTTTTTAAAAAAGACAATACATTTCTCTACAGCAGCTCTTTCCAGTTCTAAATGCTCTTCAACTATGTAAACATTTTTAAGCCACTGGACAGTAATGGTCTGACACAAACAGCACTATTTTATTTAACAAAATAGCTAATGATGTTCACCTACTGTTCTCAGCGCTGAAGTGCTGCAGTATCTTAGCCAGGTACCCACTGTTTGCAAGGTCAGTCATAGCCCCGGGACAGTTTGGAATCAGCAAGGCGTGGTACCTAGCACCTAGTGAGGGGGGAAGGATAAACTAATTGTAATACAAGCAACAAACCAAAAAGCCTGACCATAAACCCATTTCAGATTTGACAAAATTAATATAAGAACACACAAGTCAGTCAAAAACTGGATAAACTGAGTGGACTAGAACTAAAACATTTACGTGGAGCATAAAAGGTCCTTTTTAGGACAAGGAACATACATTTTAATACCTCCTTACTCACACAAAGCTTAAAACTGCTGTCTGCTAGCTTCTACTTTAGCAAAATATTTATTTAAGAAAATTACAACATTCAGTGCGTATATATATGCAAAAGAGAGAATATATATAGTGTGTATATATATATAAAATAAGACAGAATTCTCAATCCAAGATAAATGAGAAAACAGCAACTGTAATTGCCATGGCTTCCTCTTAAAACACAAGTTTTAAGCCTTTTCCGTGTCATTCTTCCCTAAAGACCCAACACCAAGAAGCCTCTGTTTCCCTGACAAATGGAGACGACACACTGGCCAACGGTAAAGCCCTCACCATCAATCGACTCCAACTTGGTAGGGTTTGCATAGGATTTCATGCGGAAGTCCTGTATCCAGCGCATGTTGCTCTCATTCACATCCACAAAATCAATTGACTTCCCCTAGGGAAAACACAGAGACTGTGGTTAGTGTCAGTGCACAGACATCTATGGCATTTCTTGAAGCATAACCATGAGGGATTTTGAGAGACTTTAGCTCTCAAAAACCTGAAGTTTTCCCACTTTTTCCACTGAAGCAGTTCTAATAGTTCTCCCTCCACTTTCTGTGGATAAGAAAGAGGGAGAGTTCAGAACCATACTCCAGGAAGCAGGCATTCCCTTCAATATTAAGAAAACAGAGATTAAAAAAGTCCCTTAATTTGCAAAGCAAATTAACTTCTCAAAAAACATTTTGTGTAATTTTCTCTTGTCAGTTATCAATTGGTTTCAGATTGAAATCACAGTAACTGCCCATTTTTACTTACCCCAGGAGTGGCAACTTGCAGATTAAAAGCAGAGCTACTCAGTGTAAAGCAGTGAAGGAAGGACTGGGCTGACACACCTGAAAAACAGAGCCAACAACTTAAGGAAACAAGTTACATTTTAATCCCAGCCACACTAGCTCATTTTACCTAGCAAGGTACACAAGCTTGGGGTTTTTGCTTATCTAAAAGCTCTCAGTAATTTCAGAGGGCTATTTTAAGACGTAAAACCACACAGCCTGCTAGCTCAAACCCGGACAACTGAGAAATACAAGATGAAAGTATCCTGCCTGTCCGGGTTGAAGGCTTAAGAGCACAGAATCTGGCTTCCCCCAGCTACCCATGCAGGCGCGGCTCAGCTGCACGTGTGCCCAGAGCAGGTCGGTGCAGAGGGGAAACCCAGCAGCTCTTCAGCCGCACAGCTGAGCGCGGGGGGCCACGCAGGAGCGCACCGCAGCTGAGCGCTTCGGGACACCGAGCACACCTGCACACAAGGCAGGTGCACAAGCAGCAGCGGCCGTGCACAGCCGTGGGGAGCAAGGCTGAGCCCAGCTGCGGGGACTCCGGGGCGCGCACACACACACACCCGCGCGTGTCACAGGACGGTGCCTGAAGCCGGGAACGCCCATGCACGGCGCAGCCGAGCACACAGGGCGACACCAGCACGACATGGGCCATGTGTGCGGGGCACACCTCACCGGCGAGCGTGCAAAGCGCCCCACACCCGGGG